ACAACATATCATGATAATAATTCAAAATTCACCACATATGGGTACAACACATCACGATAATAATTCAAAATTCACCACAAATATTTATCTGTAGAACTTGAATTCCAAAGATTCTTACCCTTTTCCTTTTTAAAAATATAAACCCTAATTAAGTTGATTTACCCTTCAATTGATCAAACATGCCATGTATTTCGTGTAGGCCATAGTTTAATCTCCTATAGCTGAATTACCCCTTTCTTATTTCGCGTCGTTTAACTAAAAACTTGGAAGAAAAAAATTTCTGTTCCAAAGCCGCAGGTCTCAGCCGCTTATCAATGGCTGCCTTAGCCTCAACTCATCCAAATCTTCTTCAGTTCACTCCGAAACTCTCGCCTTCGAAGCAACAACTCAAACCCAAGAGAATTGCAACGAAATTCTCAGTCCAAGCAATTTCAGCTTCCCCACAAACTTCTTTTACTGACCAATACGTCCTCCAATTAGCCGACTCATTAGAAGACTCTCTCCCTTCTTCCTCTTCTTTTCTACTTCAAAATCTTAGAGACAATTCCTCGGAAACCATTCTTTCAACCCAATGGCCCTCCCGAAAAGATGAATCGTTTCGATTCACGGACACCTCTTTTATCAAGAGCTCGGATATAAAGCCAATTTCTCACCCTCCAAAAACCCCTACTTTTTCAGATATTTCAAGAGATACCAAGTTTAAAAGTTTTTACTTTGCTGATGGGTTTCTTTTGGATTCTTCATTTGATTCATCAAATTTGCCTGATGGGGTTTATGTAGGTAGCTTGTCAAAGTTACCTTCTGATGGAATACTTGAAAGGGTGTCTGGATTATTAGGTGATTTGGAATGGGGTGATTTGTTTTGGTCTATTAATGGACTAGGTGCACCTGATTTGATGGTTGTTTATGTGCCTGAAGGGTGTAAAGTTGAGCAACCCATTTATTTGAAGTACATTGCGGTTGAGGGAGGTGATAAGGGGTCGAAAACGATGCCGCTTTCGAATCCCAGAGTGTTTGTGTTGGTTGAGAAAGGAGGGGAAGTGGGGATAGTTGAGGAGTTTGCTGGCAAAGAAGATAGCGAGTGTCATTGGACTAATTCAGTCTTGGAAGTTGTGATTGGAGGAGGAGGAAAAGTTAGACATTCTTATGTGCAAAATCAATCTTTGAATGCTGCTCATATCAAGTGGACTTCAGTCCGGCAGGTAAATTTCGTGTTAATGCTTCTCAAATCGATTTATGCTAACGGTTTATGTTTACTTTCGATGTTCGGGATAGTTTAGCATTGCTGTTGGTAGCTACCTTCTTGGTTTAGTTTCAGAAGCTCTTTCTGAAATGTTTTGGATGGCAAAAGCCTTTTGTTTTGTGTTGCTTCTGTCAATTTTTTCTGTCATAATGTTTTCTTAGCTCAGTGAATAGTTTATATATGCTTTTATATTTGTTCCATTGATCTCTATGGAGAAAATATTATTTGAGAAAATGAATGAAATTTCATTAAAGATGCATAAAAAATGGCACTAATGCAGTGAAACACAACTATATTTGTGTATTTGAGTCAAATCTCCTCAATCATAACTGGACGTCCATTAATTTCCTTTTTCAGACGAGGAGCTTTCTGAAGACTATTTGTGTATTTGTGTTTTTCTGGTTTAGAGTTGAAAGTAAAGGTGTAATTAAGCCGAGCTGATCCCGAATAGTGGCAAGCTCGAACTTGACTCAATATTTGGAGCTCCATACTTGACTCAAGCTCAACTTGAGCTAAAAATATAAGCTCAAGTTCGGTTACCAATTCTTTTTACTCAAACAATTACTTGAGCTCGATTAAGCTCGTTTGTGTTTAAGCTTGAGCTTGAACTCGGATTGTATTTTGCATGTAAAATAAGGGAATTTATATAATTTAATAATATAAAAATATTTAAAATATGTATTAATGAAAAGCTTGATTAGGCTCATGAGCTGTTTTAGCCAGGTATTATGGTGCTCGAATTAGGCTCGATTATTACTGAATCGAATTCAAGTTTTTCAAGCCAAACTCGAATTGATTGTGAAAATTAGCCATCTCATTTACACCCCTAGTTTAAAGGGATATTCATGTCATCAAAAGTGTGGACTTGGCATAGAGATTTTGGGGGGATGAGACTTGGGTATGTAACCTAGAGTTAAGACTCATGTCAACTCTCCAGAAAATGTGAATTGGTATCTTTCATCATTCAGCTTGGATCAAATAATGATACATTTTAATTCTTTGGATGAACAAAAAAATGGAATAAAAATCCGATGAGAAGATGAAGAACCTTTCCGACTTTTACGACTTAAGTCATAAATTGGGAGGGAGATAGAAAGTCGAAGAGGAGATGAGAGTATTCAGTAACCTGGGGAAGATCAGTTGGATTATCTAATACTAGTTATAGCATCATAGCCAACTGATTTTGGTCTCTAATCCATTTTAGTTACCGTTCATAATTTAATCCCTTTAGGAATGACTTCATATTATCCTATTTTCAACATGTCTGCAACCCAAATATGGTTCATAAAGCTTCATTTTCTGTTATTTAAATTTAATTTGAATACATGTATGCAACTTACTTGACAATAGTATTCTTACTAACATGCATACTAAGCTACGTGTAGGAATCAACTAGCACTTATGAACTTGTCGAGGTAAGCACGGGTGGAAAATTGAGCAGGCATAATGTCCATGTTCAACAATTGGGCTCCAATACAGTAACCGAATTAACAACATTTCATATGTGTGTTGGTGACCAAACACAAGATCTACACAGTAGAATAGTGTTGGACCATCCACGAGGTTACTGTCAACAACTTCACAAATGCATCGTGGCTCATTCATCAGGGCAAGTGGTTTTCGATGGGAACGTAAAGGTCAACAGGTAATTCTTGTCTGCTAACCTCTGGAATCTGGGAAGTGCCTAAAACAACAGAGTTGCTATCCTTGATTTTGCTTGTCATTTTTTTGCAGGTATGCACAACAGACAGATGCAGGGCAACTAACAAGAAGCCTGCTTCTTGAGCCTCGAGCGACAGTAAATGTCAAACCCAATCTCCAAATCATTGCTGATGATGTGAAGTGCTCTCATGGAGCTGCCATCAGTGATCTAGAAGACAGCCAACTCTTCTACTTTCAAGCTCGAGGGATCGACTTGGAGACTGCTCGAAAGGCTCTTGTATTTTCATTTGGTGCTGAGGTAATTGACAGGTTACCCCATACTTTTCTTCAGGAGCAAGTAAAAAATAATGTTAAAGAATTGCTTGGGTCAACCATGAGCAAAGACTCCTAATAATCAAAACAAGGACTTGGTTTATGTATCAAATTGTTATAATTATGTGTTTTTCGAATAATCATTCCTCCATTCATACAAATTTTGTTCCTGCATGAAGTAGAGAGGAATAGATGTACTTACCGTATAAAACATTGTTGATGGATGCGTAACTTCTTATTTTGTTGAGAAAAGTTAATACATATTTTTAATGTTTAATGTTTAATGTTGTATAACAAATAAGGGCAAAAATGTTTTTGGACTAAATTAAATTTATTCAAAGTTTTCATCGAATTAATTCAAAGTCCAATCAAAACCTTTAAATGAGTATTTTGATCTGAAGTTTCGAAACTTCTACAAGAGTTTCGAAACTATCCAAGACAGCTTCCCGAAAAGTTTCGATACTTTTCAATAGTTTCAAAACTATCTCAAGAGTTTCGAAACTTTGATTAAAGTTTCGATACTTTGAGTCCAACTATCATATATTTTCAACAGCTCTTTCGAAGAGTTTCAAAACTTCTCAGAGTTTCAAAACTTTGTGTGCATAAAGTTTTCCAACGGCTCCAAACCTCCTCAAACGGCTAGAAACGGCTAGTAACTCATTCCAACATATAAAAAAAGTTAAGACATTTGAAGAACGTTACTAACACCTATCCAAGCAATCAAACACAAGAAAAAAAATTCATTCTTTATTTTTCTCTCTTGTGTAAATATTTGTATTTTTGTGAGTTTTAATTTGTAAACACCTTCCATATTAGAGGTTTTCTTTTGTAAAGGGGTTTTGGTTTTAGCTAAGCCTTTGAAAAGCTAGTGAGTTTGTAAAGATTATCTCTTTACCCTTGAAAAAGAAAGAACAAATTAGTGAATTTGTTGGAAAATCCTAAGTGAATAGCTTAGATAGTGAATGTAGACTTCATTGAGGGAGTTGAATCATTATAAATCATTGTACAATTTTTCCTATCTTTATACTCCTTGCTCCCTAAACTTCAAAAAAACCAATTCACCCCCTCTTGATATAATTTTGATTGATCAATCGAGCTTCATTGAGCCTAGCAAATGTTTTTCCAACTAAATCTTTTTTCCCAGAGGATAAGGATCAAACACCAATGAGGTAACCTTTAAAAAAAAGGGAGCTCTAGGGAGGTTAAACGATGGCCTTTTGCTAGAGTTTATATTAGGATAAACTATATCATTGACCACTTAATTATTTAGTCCTTTTACTTTTATCATTGATCTTTTGATTTTATCAATCAGATCACCTAATTATTTAATTGTATCCAATCAAGCTACTTGTTAACATTCAATAGAATTATTGATATAATTATACATTTAGTCCTTAATACTTATATATTCTATTAATTTGGTCTTAATTTTAATTTAATTTAATAATTCTAATCCTATGATCATTTTATATATGTTAATGTTACCATTTATTGAAGGGCTTCTTTTTATAATTTAAAATTATTTAATTAAATTAAAATTAATATTAAATTGATAAAATATACAAGTATTATTGGTGGCCATCAAAAAGTGGCATTGAAAAGGGCAGAAAAATTATATTCGAAAAAAGGAATAGTAGGGTTATTATAATTCAAAAATGGTACTCGGTCATTCATATGGTTTTGACTTGACAATCACATGAAACAGTAAAAAAAAGGGGCATATTTAGATGATATTATCTTTGGGTGTTGGGATGAGGCTTTGGTTGCTCACCATTCATTCAAGATAAAAGCTGCAGCTCAGCCATAAACCATACAACAAAACACGCTTCCATTCCCCCCATTACAGATTTGCACCCAAAAGCCCATAAGACACAGAAATTAAAGACATAGCCAGTAACATGGCGCTCGGAATGTGGGCTTCTTCCACTGCCACTGCACTCAAAATCTCCTCTGCCTCCAAATCTCACCTTTCACTCGCATTCTCCTTCTCCAGATGCTTTTCCACTGGTACTCAAAATCTTCTTCTTTTTTAATCTTTTAGTTTAATGGAATTTGTAAGGATTGTGATGTGGATAATGTGTTGAAATTTGCAGTTTTGGACGGGTTGAAATATGCCAAGTCACATGAATGGGCGAAGCATGAAGGTTCTGTGGCTACCATTGGCATCACTGACCATGCTCAGGTTCCTCCCTTCTTTCTTACCTTAACCTCCCATATCCTACTAAAATGAGACCTTTTATTAAATATAAGTAGACTAGAGGGGTCAAGTTCTTAAGTTTGGCATGATTGCTAACCAGTTAAACAAATTTGACTGAGGGTCAAGGAAATAATAAACCATACTTCATATACGATCCCCTCCTATTGTATGAACCAAGCGACTTGAGTGGTTAAAGGGATTATTGTTATCCTTAGAGGTTCTGGATTCAAGTACGTCTATAGGGGTGTTTAAGCATTTATTGTCAAATAGTTGAAAGTCTGAATAGATATTGTCTTCTAATTACCCCATACTAATAAAAATATTAACTAGCTTCTTACATGATCGTTTATGCTTTAAAGGACCATCTTGGAGAAGTGGTGTTTGTGGAGCTGCCTGAAGCAGGTAGTTCAGTGAGCCAAGGAAAAGGGTTTGGAGCTGTGGAAAGTGTTAAAGCAACCAGTGATGTCAATTCTCCGATCTCAGGCGAAGTCGTTGAGGTTAACTCCAATCTCACTGAAGCTCCTGGCTTGGTATAAAATCCTCTCATTCCCAACTATATATGTAGTATGTACTTAAAATAAAAAGTGCTTTCCTTGATGACTTATAAGTTAATTTAACATGGTGTTGCTGTTGCTGTTGAAGATCAATAAAAGTCCATATGAAGAAGGATGGATGATCAAGGTGAAGCCCAGCAGTCCATCAGAACTAGAATCATTGATGGGTTCAAATGAATACACCAAATTCTGCGAGGAAGAAGACGCTTCCCACTAAAAACCCTTTGTACCTTATTTTCAGCTTCTGCCAACAAATATTGTTCTACATCTTTTATGTTTTGTCCATCATAACATCAACCCTTTCTAGTAATAAAATCTTTATTCCACTTTAATATATAGTACCATTCTTGTTCATATCCAAATCTCAGAACAAGAAGAATCTGCAGATTTTCCTGAGGAAAAAAAAAACACCTTTAAGAAGATTGCCTTGATCATTTGACCTTAATGACTTTGGCAAGGCAGTTGTCCATAGGCCTTGGAAGAGGAAAACACACAACGGGGCCTCCAGAATTAATTTGTTCAAGCCTAACAAACGGAAGGGGGGAAAAAATATATCAATATTTTCCGGATTCATTAGTACCTAAAACAAAGTTTTGGGATTGAATTTACTAATTGTGACTTACTTGCAGTTTAGTAGAAAATAATGAAGGAAAATGGAGATCTCAAGCTTCGCCAGATCTGCACCAGGGCAAATCCTGCTTCCTGCTCGAAAGGGAAGGAATGATCCAACTTTCGTTTTATAGTTCTGCATGTAACCAATAATTTCTTATATGCAATTCCCATTGAGGATCATGAAAACAACCAAATCCAGGGAAAGTTTGTACAGGTTCTAATTATGGATTAAGTCCCTCTATTATGCTGAAATTTGATATTTAATCCTTCTTTAATTTGACATAATCTGGTCCCTCCATCCTTATAACTCTAATTAGTAGGTCCGAATTGATAACGCTGATGGTTTCTGCTATTAACTTGATGAAGTATAATTTTTCTAGCCATAAGTATTTGACTGATTGAATTATAATGAATTCGATATGTAAAGTTATTATTGGTTGAACAATATTGACTAGATTTCTATGTAAACTTAACTGTGTGACCGGATAATAATAATAAATATATGTCGTCCTTTTAATGGTAACAGCAAACCATGTTATAAATTTGAAGCTACTAATAACTATGTAAAAGTAAAGGGATTAAACTATGTAAAAAGAATAGTACTTAAATTTCAATTTTCAGCAAAGTAAAGGATTAAGGTTATGTTTTAGGGTATGCAAATGTTATATGTTTAAACTCAGGCTTAATTGACAAATTAGCGACTAAACCATATATTTCCCTTAAGTGGGTATCTAGTTTTCTTGGGTAAACTACCTATTCGGTAACTCATATATTACTTAGTTTATGTTTTGGTCACCCAAGTATTCTTTTTTCAAAATCATACTTAACGTTATGCTTTAGTTTTATTTTGGTCATTCGTCGTTAAATGATTAATGGTGATGCTGACATGGCATTACCTTATGATCACATATCAACATCACTATTAAATTTTTCCTGGTAGATGATAACCAGAACATATCGTTATATATGATTTTGAAAAATAGTTGCATGACCAAAATAAAAATTAAGTAATAGATAGGTGATTAAACATGTAATTTACCCCGGTTTTCTTTGATTAGAAGTGGTACTTAATTTTTTTTTAATGTTGTTACTTCCATTAATCAACAATGGTCAATAGTGGTGCGGCTCAATAATGGAGCGATACATGCCATTATGTATGAGTTATTTTTAAAAAAAATTATAAGTTTAAATCGGATCAAATTTTATAGAGAGAAGGAGACATAGGGTTAGGTTAGGATTCAAATTCAATTTTAGTGTGAGAAATCTTTGGTATGACATTGTCCAACTCGAGAATTTTCTTCTAAAAATTTAGAGATATTGATATAATATAATTCTTTCAATAGTTTTTGAATTAGGTTCTTATTTTACTAAATAAAAATGATTATATATATATATATATCGGATCGATTCAAGTGGAGGAAATATTCTTTTTGGATTGATTCAAGTGGAGGAAATATGTTTTTCGGATCGAGTCGGGTGGAAGGAATATACATCTCGAGTCGGGTCAAGTTTAAGTGGAAGAGGTATATTTCCGATGGCGAACGGTCGAAGTCTCGTCAGGGAAAACCCATTTTTGTCCCCTCAATTCTTTACCTTTTCCAGCCACTCCAACCGTCGGTGAGCCTCACGCCAACCGTAGTTGTACTCCCTAGGAGATTCTGATCGAAACCTGACCGAAGTCGTCATCCACTGTTGTTGTTTCATCCGTCTATCGTAGGTAAGCATAACGTCACCGTTAATCGATTATTTTGCTGTGTTTTGGTTGGATTTTTTATCTAAATTTGATAGATTTTGTAAGTGGACACGCGTGGAGCAATCTTCCGATCGACCCGACCCTGCTACACGCTGTCGCATGCGCATGGGGCTCCTCTCGTGGCTTGGAATCTCATAAAACCGACCTAAGTCAACTCGAACCAATCCCAGTCAACTGAACCGACTCGAGTTAACCCAAAACGATCTGATCCGTTGACCTTGACTCGTACCGTTAACTTTGACATGACCATTAACTTTGATCGTTAATCGTTGACTTTGACCAAAAAGTTAAATTTTTTGAAAAGTCGTATTTTATGTTTTTTGACGTCCTGAGCCCGAAACCGAAGTCCATTTTGCCAAATTCAAACTCAGTAAGATGTTTTTCGACATTTTATCTCACAATTCAATATAAATTTTCACGTTTAAGTTCTATTTCTAATGTAATTGGTTTGGCCATGTATCCAAGAAATTATGGGACGTGGAATTAAAGTTCGAGGCCAATCAAATGGAGTTTAATTGGTTGACCGATATGGCTCAAAAATCGAGGTAATGCATTACTACCTTATATATGCTTTATGGAACATGTTGGTATTGGTTAATGCATGGATGAATATGTTTGGTTAAATGTGTGTAGTTAATATTTCTAAACTTGATCCGAATGCGATGTAATGTAATTAAATTGAATAAGACTCAGATTACACGTATAAGATACTAGAATATTGATAAGAAATAATTTCAGGTTCAGTGATTAACCGATAATGCAATCAACCTTAGAATCTTTAAATTCTAATTATTCTCGTTAAAAGTTTTAATATCGAAATCACCTGGTTAAGAAATTATGAAATTACACCAATGAGGTAAAACTGGTCCGTACTGAACCTGATAGTGAAAATACCTTGAGAATTTGTATTTAATCCGATAAATTGTTGATGAACCTGTTAAATTCATAATATGTTCAATAAGTCACTGATAATCATATCTTAACATCTGAGAAAGTACAAGACCTAGAATTATTGATTTATCAACAAACACCTAAAGGCTAAAACATCGAAAATACTATTTATGTTTGAATTAAATGGAAAGACTAGAATGAAGGAAATAACTGAAATACCCTTGAACCGTAAAATGACCAACATACTCCTTAAGTTTAAAATGACCCACATACCTCCAAGCCTAGGAATGATTAAATATGGAATACCCCAAATTTTAGATAGTGACTAAAATGCAAAATTTGAAAGTTAAGTGACCAAAGTATAAACTTTGGTAAAGTGTAGGGACTAAATGGTAATTTTAAAAGTTTCTATTTGGCCTCGTAAATAAATAGTTTACCTCAAGAATAATGTTTCTATGGGAATCAAAATTTTCGTACGGAATTTGTATTAAAAGTTATAAAGCGATAAAATTTGAGAAAAAAATCGGTAAATCGGATTGAATAGAAATTTCAGGAAAATATGAAGGATGATAAATTAGACCTAAAAATATTATTTCCACATTTCAAAATGTTGGAAAATAATATAAATCTTTTGGATTTGAAGTTTTAATTCCATGTTTAATTTGGATCGTTGGATTAAAGTGGCAAGATTGTAATTTTTGGAAAATACAAGGGTAAACCGGTAAAGTATGGTTTTTTTGTTCATCTTTGACTTTTGGAAGATGATAAGTGTCAACACCGTTTTACACCATGGCGGGAAAAGACCAGTACCGACTTAGGGGTTTTTCTATGAAAAGAATTTTTGAAATGTGAGGAGTCGCCACCAATCATTGAAGGTGCGATTGGGACACCATAAAAACCGGGTGAGTTTTAATAAATTATTTTATTTTTTATCAATATACCAAGTTTTAAGGTCTGCGAAAATCCAGAAATCAGGTTCATGAGTAGGATACGTGTGGGGAAGGATTAGAAACCCCCCACAAGCGCCCAAAAATTGGTACCTAGTTGATTACCCTATATTTAGAATCAAAAATTTTGAGTTCAAACTTTATTTAATTTAAAAATCATTACAGATGCAAAGTTGAAAAGGGTATTCGTTTATTAAGGCTGATAGCATTCGCCCCCAGTATAAATGCGGGAGATCAGCTATTGTGCCAAATAACTGGACATTGTCTTAATTTTAGAAATCATGATTCGTTTTTGAAAAGGATGTCGGCCTATTTTGGGAATCACTAGTAGTCACCCCCTGAGCATACTTGTGGGAGATATACCATTAATTCCCTAATAAGTGAACATTGCCTTAGGTAAAAAATAAAATGCAATCAAACAAATTTTTATTCATTCTTATTAAGCTAAGGGTAAATTAAGGATTTTTCTAACTTAAATTGTTAAATTATGAAATTTAAGAACCTAGAGCCTAAAATGTAGGTCCTAATATTAACCCTATTTGATTTTTAATCAATTGTTGAATCAAATAATCAAGATGGCCCCTTGAGCATTTAGGCAAGGGCCACCTCAAATTATTCTCTAAATTAAAGAGACTAAATTGAAAATTAGTCTAAAATAGAGGTTCTAACATTAATTTAAATTAATTTTAAGATCCAAATAATTAAATTGAAACCTCGAGAAAAAAAATGAGGACCAAATTAGAAATTATCTCAATTTAAGGACTAAACCTAAAATAAAAGTAATCAAGATGGGGACTAAAATATTAAAATGTAAATCAAAACGGGTTTAATTTAAAAGACAAATAATCTAACAAGGACTAAGTTAATTGTAATTTAAAATTGAAGGAAAAATAAAAAAACAATTAATGAATACAAAAGGACTAAATTGAAGCGAATCAAAAAAGGAAAGATTAAAGTGAAATATTGAGTAAATGACTAAAATGTAACAAAATAAAAAAGTATTTAAATCGGAAAGAGGCAGTGACCAAAATGCATAAATTGAAAGCATTACATCCAATTCTAAAACAATAAAGGTAACAGAACCAATTAGTGATTAAAATATAAAAAATAAAACTCAGTGATCAATTTCAAATAA